GACAGCTGGGCCCTGGCCAAGAGCAGCGGGAAGCCCCAGCGAGGGACCCTGGCCCTGCCACACGTTACCTCAAGAGCAGCGGGAAGCCCCAGCGAGGGACCCCGGCCCTGCCACACGTTACCTCAGGGAACATCAGGAGCAATCGCACAGACCCTCCCCCTTTGTGGGGTAAATCCAAGCACGACAGCAGCTTCACGGTGCTACTCTCTGCGATCCCTCATGCACTGTTTTCTTCTGTGTGAGATTCTGTCACTGATTTTCACCCTCAGGGACCTCCTAGGAGCAGTGTGGACAAGTATGTTTATTTTTCTCAAATAACAGAGTAACTGAGGAACAGGGTAAATATGAGAGGATCAGGCCATCTGTTGCACTTCACATCTAAATCAGTTGTAATATCAAATTATTCCTCCCTTTTCAAACCCACACTGTCTAAGCTCTACTGTGCTTCATTTTCTCATTTTTATCCAAACATCACTCTTCCTACATGGAAAAGAACAGAGAAAGATTCCTGCGTAGTTTTGTTGTTTTAAAATGAGTCATGCAGTTTAATTTCTGGAAAAATAATAGTTATATCGAGAGGAAAAAAAAGAAGAAAGAAGAGAAAACCCAAAGAAGCTGACAGTTTAAAGCTTGAAATCTGTCAAAAAAGGAGAACATTTTCAAAACAGCCGGCACGTTCTTTTTAATACGATAAAACGCAGTTAACATAAACACTGCTCAGTTCCTTAGACCTGCAAATGGTCAAAAATGGCAAGGTACATTTTCATTAAATATGAATTACCAGGATTTTGCCAGAGTAAATTGAGATGCCTAAACTAGGACTGCATCATGGTAACAATCAACTGCATTCAACAACACTCGTTAGATTATTTCTTGCCATGTCACAGGTACTCAAAAAACACCATAAACCACATTTAATTCCCAAAACTCTGTGGTAAAAGCCAACTAAACATATTATAAACTGGATATCTTCTTACCCAGGACCAGCACATGCTTTTTATATTTTGCTGTTACTAACATATCCAAACAGATGCTGAAGTCATCTGAAGACTCTTCAAGGCAACCATAATAAATTTGCCTTATTCAGAAGCAAGCATTAAAATCACTGCATGGATGACACCAACATAAAAACATGGTGCTAAGCTTTTCAGTGCATAAGAGAGGGGGCAAAATAAAATGATAAGGCAATAATACAGATGCTCAGAGCTAGAAATAGCAACCTCTTATAGACATTGTCAGCTGTTAACAACTTCTCTTGTCCAAGTGCCTAATCTGCACTTTTAGGGACAAAACAGCTGGGTGTCACCAGCCTGCTCAGCAAACCAAATATTCGGCTTACTGGCAACCAGCTGCACCTCAAAATGGCTGTTTGAGCTATCAGATATTTGGGAGATGTATGACAATACCCTAAAATGTGAAGCGTTGACCAAGCCAGACCTCTGCCTCTCACACGCACGCCCATGTGAGTGCACACACAGGTGCCTTTGTCACAAGATGCAGTTAAGATAATGAAGAGCTGGATATCTGGGAGAACAGGAAAGTCTGGATAACAAGACAATTGGCAACGTGCTTGAGGAATGCGGTGCAGATGCATCCACGCTGATCTGCGGTTTGCCAAGGTCCAGCAGAAGGGCCCACAAAACAAAAGCAGAGGGTCGGGACGGTACCGAAGCCGCCCGTGTGTAACTCACCATGCCAGAGCTGCAGCCCAGCGTTTTCACACAGAACTAGGGCACGTCCATGGGGTCCAGCAGTGAACCTGAGATCACGGGGGGTCTGTAGTGACTACACAGGGCCAGAGGCACCATCCTGCTCCAGACACTCAATTCAGGCATCTTCTTTGTTCAAGCTTAACACCACAGAGCGTTTCTGGACCCCACCTGGTCCTGAAAGCAGCTTATATGACACTAAGTTAATTAAGCACACCTGCTAATAAACTGGATAACAAGGCTTGCTGAATCCAGCCTGACTTCCACTAACCAACCAGATAAACTACTCACAGCAAGGAGTCCAGGTCACTGGACTGCTAAGAGACATTTTGTTGTCACCTTTCTGATCACATACCTTACCACATGAGCCACAACTAAAACTTCTTGCAGTTTTTCTGTTGCTTGTGCTAGGAAAACTCCATGTGTGTGCTGTGAGCAACTAATACGTGGAGGCCAACAAAACGTTCCTAATCCTGTGCAGTCACAGGCTATTCATACATTGCAGCACCACAGTAAACACTTGGCAAATGCCCTTTTTGCCAACGAGGCATCGCATTTTTCACATGAGCCTCTTAATCTGCTCGAGGCTGGAGCAACGATAGGACCCGGATGCTGCTATGAAGACACAAACCCAGTGTAAAACTCAGCTGACTGCTGACCTCTGACAAACAGCCTGCTCCAAATGTGGAGCTGAATGCTTACAACAGCCAACAAAAACCCAAAGTTGCTCTGAGAGTCCACAGGCCTAAGCCCACAGAAATGAAGGAGTAATGAAAAAGGCTACTATCAAATGGGCCCTGAAGCCTGGCTGGGGTGAAAGGAGGTTTTCGGAAAAGCACAGGGTTCAGCTTTACTGCCAGTAGGGAAAGCTCTAATAAGTGGGAGAAACTTCACAGCTCAGACGTTATTAATGGGTAAACACAGATTAGCCTCTGCATCCTCCCACTGCATTCCCACAATCCATTTTGTTTTGTTTTCCCCCCAGGATTGCTAGAGCACAAAAGTAACTTTCTGCTCCTGTGTAATTTATTACGGGCCTTCTTTTCTGGTCTGATTTTCAGATTTTCCATTTGAAAGAATCATATTCAAAATATCAGAGAATTTACACATTAGCAATATGACATGGAAGAGCTGATACTAGAGAAAAAGAAGGCAGAACTTTTTAACTGGTTACTTAACTTCTGAATAAATAACTTCTGAATCTCACTGATTTTTTTACCCAAGGATAATTTCAAATATTCCCTTCACATTGCTGCATTTTAGGGAAATACCTGATAAAATAAATCAGAACAGATTAAAGTAAAAAGTTTTTTAAGTCTGTTTTAGTTCTAAAGCAGTTTCTAATGAAAAACAGAGATGGAGGCATTTTATTACAGTGTTTCTGTCAGTATTTCCATAATAACTTTTGAAAAAGAAAGTATTCTTCATATGTATAACAGATCAAAGAGAAGAAAGTATTTGCAATATATGCTCCGACTTCACCCACGGACTCCAAGTAGTAACATTTCTATGTTCTATGAAGATATGATATATGGGACCACAGTCAATCAAGGGTATTTGACCTACCATGCTGAACATGCCTCTAAGTGGATCTCAGAGACAGGAATACAGAGCCTATGATGCTGAAGCCCTGATTGATAACTCAGAAGTCAGTTATAAATAAATCTGGAACAGTTGGGATTGACTGTTGTTTAGCACTTTCAGACAGACATTCAGGGCAACTGGCAGGGGCTTTGAAAGCTGTTTCCTATATTAGAAGCATGACAGAAATAGAGGAGAGGCTGCATTCCCTTGTCTTCTGCTAAAATAGCTCTGACTCAAAAACATTTCTGCAAGTTTGGCGAGGCTTAACTACTGCACCGTCAGATGCAGAACAAATTCAGTTCTAATTACAAGTATCATGCCAATCTGCCATATAACATTGTTACTTATTAACCTAATAAGAACAGTGAGATAAACTGGATAGGACTAGCAGGTATCAGGGACAAGCAGAAGCTTGTTTTGTAACTGTTTCTAAAACTTCTCAGTGAAGATGCAATCACACTTTCCTAGCCAGAAAGACTATAAAACCAAAAAAAAGGGTAAGTATACCAACTATGTCAAGAAATACATGCAAATATTTTATTTATGCAACAGCACATGTTGCATCATAACTATGGACAGGAAGGCTTGGTTTTGAGAGGGGAACAGGAAAGAACAAGCATTATTTTTTTTGTTCTATTTTCAAGCAAAGTGTCCTAAATTGTGCTTACAGGGGAAGCTGCTGTCACAAGGCTATCTTGCCTCTAGCTTTCAGGTAAGTATAGTGGGGTCTTGTTTATGGTGTTTTTCTATGATCAAAATATCCATAAAAATACTGTAGCGTTTGCTAGTTCATTGGCTGAACGCTCTATTGTGCTGCTAAATTACACAGTGACATTAAGGAGCAATTAGGAGTTCTCAGGACCAATGAGAGCAGAAAAATATCAATACACAGATCCAAAACTCAATGTCTAACTTCATGCTCCTGTTTCAGATCCATAAGTGAACTCAAATGATACACAAGACGCAAACTTGATTGAAAACAAAATGGATACTGAACAGTACTTACAAATTCTTACAAGAGGACGGGAAACAATAAAAATCAATTGGCTTTAACAAAGCAAACCTGTTTTTTTCCTCACCCAAACCACACCTGCATAGCATTTTGCTGACAGATAAACGACTGTCCTACCTGCACTTCAGGTCACCCTGAAAGAAGCAACTCCAAACTAGAAACTCAGTGACCATGGGGCTCAACACCAGCCCATGGCAATTTTGCAGCCTCTCAGCAGAAACCAGTGCTGCGGTTCAGCACCCAACCAAGCGCTGACACAAAACTGCTGGTTCTGAGCAGGATCACAACTGCTTAGCAGACTTCCTGATGAAATGCCACGTACCCCATCCACCGGCAAGTTTTAGACCACGAAAAAAATATCCTGTTTACACAGTTGTTCCAATAGTTTCTACAGAAAACACACTGCAGTGTCAGCATTGGAAAACGCTTGCAACTTTCCTGCTAAAGTTAACCTAATATAAATTAAGGCCCAGTTCACGAATTCTAGGCTCAACTCTTTTCGCAGCTGGAGGAGCATACGCAAGACCACACCTTGTTCATTAAACTATGTTTCTCCCATCATGACATTTGCTAAAAATATGCTTGTTGAAAGAGAAAGAATTCATCAAATCCTTTCTTTGTCATGCATCTCCACATTGCAGAAATAGTTTCCCTTTACTAGAACAGTCTGCATACATGTATTTCAAGTTAATTACCTTTAGGTGGAAAATATGACTTGCTTTCAGCTTTGTGAGGCCAGTCCACCACAAGAGGTCCAAACCTACGAAAGCTGGCAGTGATCTCATCTACAAAAAACAAATGAGGCACCTTAGAGAGAATCCAAAGACTGACAGTGGTAAAGTCAACATTCTAATTTAAAAAAAAAAAAAAAAAAAAGATGGTTTTCCATATCTTTTAAAAAACAAGGAAAACTGAAATAATATACATATAAAATGTCTAAATGTTCTTTCACGTCTGTGCTCTATTCTGCTACTTAAAAAGGGCTTTGCCTGCCATTAATGCAGGGTTGCAGCATGATTAAATGCAAACATGATCTATCAAAAGTGAATATGCTTCAGCTGTGGTCTGCTTCTAATGATAGGCACAAGCTGGGTCAGATGCAGCCACCTGGGACTGATGGAAGAGCTGCATGTCAGCATGGCCACTCCTTGTTGCATGACCTAGAACACAAGCTGCATCAGATGATATGAATGTGGGGGCTTCACCTTCCTCTCTCCCCTCTGAGAATTTCCCTTAAATTAACAAGTTATTACTTGGCTTTTGAAACATTAAAAAAAAAAGAAAAAGAAAAAGGAAACACATCTCTAAAACCTTTCTACAGGACAATTTTGTTTTATATGCGGGTGTTTCTGGAAAAAGCAATTTCAGTTCTGCAAAAATTTTTTTAACACACGTGATGCATTTTAAAGAAAGAATCATTTTCAAATTGTGTCTAATGTGATGCTAGGTAAATGAGAGTGACAAACCATCCGTGGGAAAAAAAAAAACAAAAAACCAGTCTGAGGAGAAAGGAAGTGGTTTCCCAACTTTTTGATTGCAATTCGAGATGCGGCCAATTTATGTGACCCAACAAACTGCACATCGGATACCTAGAGCCACAAAACACACACACACAGAAAGCTCAGAAGCTGAAGGGAAAAGGTGTTATTGTAGTACGTGTCTCATAAGGAGGGTAATAGCTCCCAGGTGGCTCTAGGATGAGGCTGGGTGTCTATTTTGGTTCGGAGTGCTCAGCAGCGCTCACGGCAGTGGTACCTGTTGACTTGATTCTGCCGACAGCTGCGGATGGAGATTTCCCAGACCCCGTTTCAGCATCCTTGCCACTCGCTGTGACACGGGAACTGCATTTGAGTTGTTTGTGACCTACAGGCTGGCCAACCCACCCCATTCCTTTATGGAAACTATGTGTTCAGGCTTTGTAAGGCTGAACCACAGTGCTGATTCTTTATTAAAACTGTACATAGTTGAAGCTTTTAGCAGAAAATCATGTTCAGTGATGCCTTCAGGCTGGGTGGGAGGAGTGCTGACATGTACAATTAAAGGAGGTATGGACTGAGAAAATGACTGTAAGCTAGTTATTATTTTATAACCGTATGAAATGACCTGCATTTGTCAACTGAATCACTATATGTAGGTTGGAGATGAGAGCTGGTTAATTAAAGCCCAATGTATTATTATTATTCACAAAGTATTCAGAGTACACACAACTTTTAAAATGAAAAGGGACAGACTGTGGAAGAATGATAGCGCAAATTTCCCTTTTTCAGTCTCCCACTTCACACACAGACAGGCACTTCTGTCCTTGTCCTTTCTTTCTATAGTACAAAAGAACATCAAGCAAGTTCTCAGATCCAGGGGAGGGGGGATGGAATTTGGTTTGTTTTAAGCAATGCCACAAGCACTACAAGTGACATACCTGAAAAACACACTTGTTTTATAAAAAGCTGACCTTGCCTAAGCAATCACATGAACGCCAACTCCCCCCAGCATCACCGCTTATTCACAGTACCTTCATCAATGTCAGGAGGAAGACCTCCAACAAACACCTTTCTAGAATAGCGTTCCACTCTTTCACCATTCTGACAGCGCGTTGGAGAGCTGAGCCCCGACGATAAAGACTGATCACCGTGACTGTCGTCTAGGAAGCCATCTTCAAAGGGAAAGAGTGAAGACCGACCTGTAACAGATTTTGTGGCATCTATAGTTAAAGCTATTTTCTAGAGAAATAAATCTTTCAGTAAAAACTTAAGTGTTATAACTTCCTTTTTTTAAGCTTCTGATTTTAACAGAATTTTGCTTTAAAAGGCTCAATTAAGTACCTCGGTAAGCCAAATGATATGTTCATTAGTATTTCTTACTTTTTTCCAGGCTTTTCCAAGTATTTAACTACATTATCCTTAGTAGACAACCCTAACCTAGCTTTAAAACAGAGATTCTTGTGAATGTCTAAAAAATCTAAAAAAAAACAAGTTATGTAATTACATATGATTGTGACATGTATGTGTCATAGCCACAGAAGGAACCTTTGTAAGATTTCTCCTTCAAACCAATTCGGAGAGCTTTCAGTCTTCAAGGGCAGATCTCAAAGAGCAGACTGCTCAAGCCACTGCTTGGAGGGTTCCAGCCACAAGGCTGCATCGTCTCCTCCTCCTGGGAGCAGAGAGGCTCAGGCAGAGCAGGGCAGAGGGGCAAAGAGCAAAACAGGCAGAGAAAAGCTCTGGAGAGTTGGTACTACGCAGGTGGGTGAAGCAAGCAGCTTAGCTAATAGGATCCAACCTTTAAAAGACTTACTAAATAAACCACAAAAGCTTACATTCTACCTGAAGAGAAAAGATGTTAACTGGGACAGCCTGTTAAGCTGCTGCTCGGTGTTGAAATACACTTTCAGTAATGAGCAAACACAAACCAACATAAATGGCTGCTGTTCACCGGATTGATGAAAATACATAATTTATCCGTGATCACCTGATGCAACTAACCTGTTATTGACAGAGTATGCACAAATTGCCTTAAGAACAGATATTAAAACAGAAGATAGGAAGAGTAAAGTAGTATTCAAAGGCTTTATATAAGGAGTACTATAGATCATGCCAACTTTAGTGTTTATCTCCCCATACCTAGGCTGAAAACTAAATCCTTTAATATAGAGAGAGATGTAGAACTGGAAACCACATCTGAGCTCTGAAAAGGCTAATTACCCCCTCATATCATGCAGGATTGCTTCCAGGGTGAAATTATAATTGATACAGTTTATAGAAGATTAGAAATATACATATATAATATATATAATTAAATATAATACACAAAATTAAATTCCAAAATACTGAAACATATGAAAGTGACTTCCAGAAAAAGTTAAGAAGAGTTAATCTATATACTGGTATGAACAACATATGGACGTACAGGAAAGTAAAAATGGGAGCAAGGAGAAAAATCAAGATGTACAGTGACAGGCTAGACTAAAAAAATGCCTATTCTGGGAGCATCAGCCACAGAGACCTCAGTAGTAAAGGGCAGATTACAAAAAGAAGCAGTAATCCTATTTATGGAGAACAAACAAATGAAAACTAGAAAGATGTTCTGACAAACAACGAGCACCAGCCTGAGCTTTTAGGAACAAGCAGGTACAAGAAAAGGAGTAGAGCACACCGAGTGCATGATGTTGACAGATCCTAGGTGTAAAACCTACTGACACGCTCCATTACTGTGCTTGGAAGCACCAACATGAGAACACGGCAAATGCCACAACTGAAAAGGGACTTTGAGAGGCTGCCAGTCAAAGTCTAGAACAAGTAGTTGTCTGGAATGGTGGCGTCATGACATCAAACATGACAGACTCTTCTTGCTGCATTGCTCAGGAACACACTGCTAGCTCATGTACATCCACACACACATTCTTGTGTAAGAGCACATGCATGAGGAAAATAATAGGGAGGCTAAAATAAGGTAAGAGAATAAAATCCAAAAACCTCCTGAAAAGTATGCAATTTGAAATATGGCATTGCTAAGAAGCTAAATAATCTGTTCTAATGCATTTTCCCTGCAAACTTACCTTTGCATAAAAAATCATTAGCCATTAATAGAAGCTGACATATCAAAAGAGGACAGACTGCAATACAAGAGATGATCTAAAACTTTTTAATTAAATAAAATATACAGGTATTTAAAATTATAAAAGGCATGGAGAAAAGGAGCTAGGAAATGATTGTTCATCATCTCTTCCACACAGCAGAGGCTTTTTAGGATGCTAGGAATTTTACATGGGTTTGGAAAATGGAATGAGCATGAGCAGAAGAAAAACACATCCTGTAGCAATAAATATCGGGACATCAACTCAAAAAATCCCCAGAGACAAATCTCTAGGGGAGTATTACGGGAAGGCTTCTCTAAACGCCCTGTTTCTATATGCTGTCTTCCTTCACCTGGAATGTACAAGCTGTCACTGTAGGAGAACAGGCACTGGGCTGCCTTTCCATGGCTCTGCTTACACATCTGATAAATTGCTGAACACAAAAAGCAAGACACCTGCAAGAGCATGATTCAGCAGCTCTATGCAAGTCTACAAAGAAAGGGCTCACCTCTCAAAGAGACCAGGGGATCGAGTAGAACACAGACAGGCTACTGCAAACCACAAGGAACTTCTGACAAAGCCTCTTCTCACTACAGATGCTTAGTCACAGTGATAAGATCAAACACTAATATTGTCAATTATAATAAACACTAAGAGGAGTCCCTGCCCTGCTCTGCCTCCAGGTACTCCAGGTATTACCACAGCACACACAGTAAAACCAGTAATAAAGAGGGAAACATGAGACCATTTGACAAACAAATCTTTTAAAACAGACTATGGTAGAACTTCACACCTAAGGTAAGAACGCTCAGAGCAACATTATAAAATTCAAGGTAATGAAAAAGCATGAATGCCACAGACTTAAATACAAGTAGGGCAAGTCACACAATCCCTAACATAGATGACAAGACAAAAAAAAAAATCTACTTGTTACCACGGAAAAGACAATTTCACACAGAAAAAAAATATTATGGAGTGAAACATGCTTTTTAGAAGTGTAAAAAAATACTGAAAGTCCAACACATTCAGAACTTGCTTGCCCTGTTTTGTTACCACTACGATTTGCGTAAGACGCTCATTTTACAGCCTTGCATCCATCAAATTACTGCCACATCACTGTATTTCGCTTGTACAAGTAAGTATGAATTGCAGTAAGTGAATTGTGTCCAACTGATTCCCAAATGCTCCCCCATTTTGGTGCCATTTGATCAATCTGGAAACATTTGCCACAGTCTTACAACAAGATTAATCAGGGTTCCCACTCATAGGGAGGGTATTTTATACACTACAGTCTTTCCAGGTGGTTTCAGTACCATGGAAGCACTGCAGAAGCATTGGGATGCTTTCAACACCTGTAACAACCACCTCTTCTCTGAAAAGATGCACAGAGGAGGGGCCACCAAAAATTATATTTTAATACTACAATATTTTTTAAATATTTTTACTATTGAAGAAAATACAAATATTTGAATTTGAACAGAAAGAGTTCAAAAGCTATATTAAAAACTGCACCAATATAGTCTGTACAGCCTGCTACAGCTCAATCTCTGTGTATGTGCGAGTTATAAGCTAGTTCCAGGCTATCAATTTTCTTGAATGGCTAATTTTGTCTCTAAGTTTCCTCACAAATTTGATGCATCTCTAGACTGCAGTGAGGGGGGAAAAAGACATTCAAAGTGATACAAATCATATGGTTAGCTGACAGAAAAATACATTTTTCATTCATTTCTCTCATAAATCAAAAGAAGAAACAATGAAATTTGGTGCCAAAGGGCCTAAAGCACTGCCCAATTTTCAGTATTAAAAGCTGCAGTGCTCACTGTTATTTTCTCCATAAAGAGCTGCAGCACAGTATATAAAAGCAAGATAAATCAGTAGCTTCTTTGGTGTCATTAAGCTTGTTATGCCCATGTTCATTAATCTCTCAAAACAAACTTACATGCAGCACTGCACTACATTTGTAAAATATATTCAATCTGTTTTTATTTTTAAGGGTTGCTTAAACAGTGAAACACAATTAAAAGGTGCTCAATCAAGTGTTATTTCTTTTCCTTTTTCATTATCAATATTCAGTGCTGAGGCCAATTATTATTATTGGTATTCGCCACGTTCCACCAAAGGCAATCCAGTGCAACAGCTGAGTGTAATATTCAGTGAAAGAAAAGATGCCTCATCAAAGAAAAGTACTTTTGAAGTGTTCAATGAACTAATTAAACATAACACTTCTACCAAAAAAGAAACCTGAAAACAATCCTTTTCAGGATCCTACACATTTAAACTCATAGTTATTCATCACACAAAAAAAACCCTTTACATTTATTCATTTGTCAATTCACTAACAGAAGCAAAACATTTCAAGTTACCTGCTCATCATTGTTTTAAGCTGCTATTAATTGGAGATATTTGCAAATAAAGAATATCAGATTGATTTATAAAAACAACTGATCAATAAAATAATGTTAAAAATGGTAACATCATAAGAAAACTAAATATTTATTCCTCCTACTATTAATCAAACAAAACATTTAGTAAATACTTTTACCTCTTCTCCGCCCATAGCTCCTGGCTGCATGTAAACACAGAAGAAAATTGTCGGTATAGCTGTCATTAGATTTAGCTCCAAAAGCAAAGAAAATGTAACTTCTACTTCTTCTCTTTCTCCCTCCCACCGTAAAGAAGGAAAAGACATTTTTAAAAGTTCAAGATGAATTTCAAACAACCCAGGACAAGAGAAAAGGTTTGAAGATGACACAGCCAGGGGAAAAAAATGAACATACCTGCTGTGCAAGTGTTATATATGTCAGAGTAATTGAAAAAATAAAGCAGGCAAATCAGACTTATAACATTATAAAAGAATTTTTAATTATGGTTTTAAGAAACAGTAAACATCATCATCCTAATTAAAATAATTAATTTCTCATTTTATTAATCAGTTTGTGGATAACATTTTCCAATTACTTTTCAAGTTAAATAGTTAGCCATCTGTAAATGCCAAAATCCTATCAAAAACAAACTCAATATCCAGTAGGTCCAGACTAATAAAAACAGATTGACTTTTTTTAAAGTAACCATCTTTTTTTTTTTTTTTTTTAAGAAATAACCCTCATATACCATTCCAACATGACATTCATCGATGGCAAAATCCACATTGTACAAGTGCAGAAGTAAGCCACAGAGTAATCAAATATTTGATGATATAAACAGAAATGCAAAAAGCAGCCCTTTTTGTTCTGAAGCTTTAGAATACAGGAAAATTACCTGAAAAACAGTATCTTTATACACAGGAACCTCGATATTACAAGAAATATCTGTGGCCTTTGCACATAATGGAATACTTGGCTAAGAGTCACACCAGGCTTCTCCACCAGGAAGCAGGGCAGAGATGGAGCCTGGGCTTGATCCTTCTCTTCTCAAGAGGCACCTTCATGCTTGTGCCCTCTCCCAAACCCACAGGTCTTCTTCTACACCCTATGCAGCACCCCCAGGACTTGCCCAGTGCCCAGGTCCTCCTTGGGACTCTCTCCATTCCCTTAACCACTTCATCCAGTTCTTTCTCCCCACTGCCATACACCAAGAGTCCCTCCTGTAAAACCTCCCTCCTTCCCATCTAGAGATGCAGGTGAACTTTCTTCTGTCATTTATATCAAATGCACGTGTGCTTTTGCAGCTAAACAGGAACCTCTCTTTGCAAAGAAAACATTTCTAGATGGTTTCAAAACTAAGCAAAAAGAAGTTATTCCTTCCTAGGTACTTTATGGAACATCACAGGGTGAAATGTAGCTACTTTAAGAGGCAATGAATGGATTTTACTAAACTGCATTAAACCTGATTGTTGCAGGCAGAAACCTATTGATTGTGCAACTCTGAACCTTACAAGTGAATCTCACTGAATGATCATGATTGCATTATTATTTCTCCATCTCTCTGCATTTTTCTTTAGCTCCAACAAGCAGAATAAAGCTGCACAAACACTATGTCCTAATTTACATGCATGAATTAGAAAGGTACAATGCCTTATTTTTTTCAATCTTTGATAATTGTGGAACTCTCAAAAGTCTGCAACTAAGATGAGCTGTTGCTTCAATGAAACCGAAGAAACTCAATCGAAAGGCTGCAATGTTAACCACAGTTCAAGAAAAGCTGCATGAAACTGAAGAAAAAGAACTTTAAAAGCTTAAATCTGCAGCATCTTATGTGGCAGTCAAAAGAAGGGTTCTTTCTCTGACATAAAAAATACATTTGCATATTTTATAAAGTTTCTAAATTTTACCTCATCAACCAGAAAGCCACCTTTATTCTATCTCACTGCCAAGACTGAGGGCTAGTTCAGTTACTTCCATATTAAGCTGGATAGTTCCAACACAAAAGGGAACATCTGCTTAACAACAGCAAAACATGCAAATAAATACCAGAATTACACAAATGATTCCCCAGAATCATCAAGGTAGGTTTCGGCAATTTATTTGAAAGAGATGAATCTAAGAGAATAGAAAAGAAAGGACTTTGACTAAACACATTCTCACAGACTGGGCATCACCAAGTACGTGTCTGTGCCTCCCATATGCAGGCCTGAATCACGCAGCTCAGCTAGAATACCTGCAAGAAGTCCTAGGAAATGCCCAGCTAGGCAAGCCTAAGGGTCCGTCCAGACAAATACTCTGTTTTCAAGAGGGGCACTAGAAGAAACACGTTAGACTGGCCACTACTCCTCTCTGTCCCTTAGCATCCAGAGGGAGCTGGATCCAAGGCGTTAGGAGGCCACTCATGCTTACTCCTACCACCTGCTCGCAAGGCCTTCAGATCACCATCTGTCTAATGCCTTTTTGAACCTGCTGATATCATCCACTCCCACAAGTTCTGGGGACAGCAAGTTTCAAAATTAGATGGACACTCTTTTGTGGGCTTTAGATGGATCTACTAGAAGTTTCTCCAAACCCGTCTCATTTTGCTGTGGTCCTACATTTCCCTCACCTAATCACCTTCGTTAGGCTAGCTTGTAAGGCTCCACCTCATCCACTGGCAGCCTTCTCCTGCCCAGACTGAAGGTCTCTGCTTCTTTAATCCCCTATTACATGGCTTATGACATACATTTTTCACAACAGATTTCAGTTGTAAGGTAATCGAAAATAAAAATTATTGGCACTTGGCAAAAATAGACAGCAGTGATGACTAGATGGAAATTCAGCCTAGGATTGTGCATTATCTGACATGGCTCAATTAAAGGCTGTCACAGTACATCAGTACAAGAAGGCGTAATGATATTTTACAGCTCAATATCCCCAAGAACCAAGCCTTTTAAGTTACGAACAACATAAAACACCTTACTAAATCTCCTGTTTCCCTTAGCAACAAAAGATGTTAGCCATGTGAAGAAGCAATGAGTTTCCATTCTGTTTGTTTTTTTTTTTCCAATTCCAGTTAAGAGCTTAATTTTTACGGATTAGAAACTGTGGGGAAGAGCTTCCCTGGAAAAAGAGCCAGTTGTACACGGGAGGAAGTTAGTAAAACAAATAAAAAGTATCCATGAAACACAAGCACATTCTTAAAACATTTTTTAACGCATGTGCCAAAGCAGATAGTGAATTATAAGTTAACCATTTATTCTATAAATTAATTTTTCTGTCCTCACAGAGATGTCTTCTCTCTCCCTTTCATTCCTTTATTATGATATGGGACCGATCTGCCCCTTTTATGAGATTAAATTAGATTAAATAGATGGTTGGCATTGCAAGGAAATCATACGTTTGCAAATCCAAAAATGACTAGCTCCAAAGAGCTAGATCTAAACTATTTCCATAACAAAGCTAAAGGTGAACTCGATCAGGATGAAGACATAAGCAACATCATTTATTTATATTATTGCATTTTACAGAAGAGTTAATAGAAAGTGTTTTGAGAATGTTAGCAACAGTTTTTCTTCACTGTTAATGTTAAATCTTACCTTATTCTACCAGTGATATATTCACAATATCAAAGACACACATTTCCCCAAATTTTATAGACATTTCTTAAATACTAGTAAAATAACATCTCTATGAAAAAAAAAAGGTAATATTTCAAAATATGAAATTTGGGGTTAGAAGGGTTAAAAAAAAAGCTTATTTGACAAGACTGGGAACCTCCTTGATTTATAGACTACTGGTATCTTATTTCTAACTTGGAAAACTCATTTGACTTGAAGCATTCAGCAGTTCAGAACAATACTTGCTTTAGGACAGTATGAGTTATGCAATAACATTCTAAATTTGGAAAGGAAAATATGTCAAGCTTTTTGTTTTGAATAGTTAGTCTCTGAAGTACTTCAGAGATCTGGAAGTTTACAACCGAAACAATTCCAGGGAAAACTGAAATAATGAAGTCAGAGAAGGTGATGGAATCAAGGGAAATCACACAATGCATCTTTGCTATAACAACATCTCTGTAGCACACAACTTGAACTCGGTGAAGAACTGTTTTTGTTGAACTAACATTAAAGAGCAAATGAACAGAACAAGCTAGGAATCCTGCTTTTATACCGTTAAAATACTCAGACCATGAACAAGTATTTGTGCAAGTTTAACAAGAAAGCCAGATGCTAGAAGTATATGCAACATAGCCAGAACTTCTGTCATATGCTTTAAAGACTTTGTTTGGGTTATTGTGAATTTCTAATATTACACATATGAATACTGTATCTTTGTAAAGTACTAGACTGCTCTTAAATGAGTATGAAAAATTGAATATGCTCAAGATTGTTTAATGAACTGTCAAAACACAAGAAAAGCTCAGAGATAGGTAAGGAACGTTCTATTTAAAAAGTGGATTTTCACACTGTTGGATGCATATGACGAGCAGTAGCCAAATCTGAAACAAGCTGGCTAACTTATTTTGTAGCAATTTAAAAGTTAAATATGAATTTGTGCTCATAAACAGAGTTTAGAATTAATTCATCATTTCTTTAGAACTTAAATAGCAGTCAAGATTGACAAGAATGTTTTCCATACAAAAAGCAGGCAGATGCTTAATAAAAACAGCATAAATGTACTGCAAATAAAATACTCTTCTTTGGCTAACAATTTCTGGAGAAGAAATAAGCTGATAAAGGAATGCAGCATGATAAAACTGAGCTGGTCAAAACGTGTACACATATGGAAAAATAAGAACTATATTTGGAAGAATAAAGAATTAAACATGGTTCACTATATTAACTTTTGTGTTTCTTGCGTGAGTATGTTTGTACTGAGCACTACATGCATCGAAATTTATTTGCTTCCAAACAAGGTTTTCTATATATTCTATCATTTGTAGCGCACTCCTCCCATTTTGCCCAGGATATCATTTAAAATTATTTTTGTTCCAGCATTTTTCAGTGTCGGAGATTCAGGGGCCTATTTTCAGTGATGAGCAATGCAGCAGAACAGCTTGTATAGAAAAATACTATTCTTTCTTTCCCTTTTTGTATGGCTGCCCCAAGGAATAACTTTACAAAAGACAAGACTTCTGACCTCTACCTTTTGTAAGAGGTTTTTGAAAGAAAGGATTAATGCAAGTAATTGGGATTGACATAAGTGACATAAATTGTTGTTC